AATTTAATGTTTGAGTTTGGGTTTGATTTCAAATCAAACTCAAACTCAAACTTATCAAATCAAACCTCGGAACCCTACTTCAGGAAGCATTGCTCTTGAATTATCATATGCCATATTCACATACAGGTCAAAGTATTAGTTAAGAATTATTTCTCATAGTACATAAGTAGAAATTAATAGATAAAGTACATACCATCGTAACAGATAATGGTGCTAATATGATAAAGGATATTAGTTTGTTAAAAGAAAATTACTTGCCTAATATCATTTGGCAATCATGCATCACTCATACTTTTTAACTTTCAGTAAAGGAAGGGTTAAAACAAATTCAACCAATTCATAAACGACTCAAAAGTATTCAATCGTTCTTTAGACTTCCAAAGCAGGTGCCGCGATTGCAAAATATACAAAGGCAAACGGCTTCATTTGATATAGACCAAAGTGATGCTGAAGATGAAATAATAAATCCACTTGAAGTTTTAACCAACTGTAAAACCTGTTGGAATTCGACCTACTTGGCATAGAAATGAATTTTATTATTGTATCCAGCAATGCTCAGGCTTGCGACATCGTTACGAAATAAGTTAGATGCTATATCAAAATGAGAAGGTGAAAAGCTTCATAAATTGTGTTTAATTACAGAAGAAAAAGAGTATGTTTTAATATATATTTCTTATATTATACTAGTTCAATACTACTAGTAATCTGCACAATGTAAAGTAGATTATTTCTATTAATTTTTTTTTTTTTTTTTTTAAAGGTTTGTAGAAAAAATAGTTAATCTCTTAAAACTATTTGAAGAAATTACGAGACATGTATGTGGATCAAAGTATTCTACCCTCAATCTTGTATATTCTTATATATATATTTTAAAAAATAAGTTTGCACCAATAAGTGAAAAAGGAGAATCGTTAGAATTATAGATTGATCTTATTTATAGTTCAGAAGACCTAGATACTAATGATGATTTAAGTCTTAGTAGTGATAATGAAGCTAATATACCATCAGCAGGAAATCGAAAACAATAGCAATATACACACTGACGTGTATATCGCCAAAAAAGCCAAATTAGTTATAAAAAAAATAAAAATAAAAGAAAAAAGGCTACTCCTGAATTAAGTGATTCCAATATTATAGAATATTTGTCACCTATAAACTGTTCTGGGTTTATAGAAAAAGTACGAGCCACTATTTTTCTATCTCTTGATGAATTATAGAGCTTGTCTGATGAAATAGGCTTGAAGGCTTCTCTTTTGGATACGTATTACTTTACAGACTTTAAAGACAATTAATTTATACAATATTTAATAAATTAGTAGTTATTTGCTGTTAAAAATCATTGTCTACAAAATAAACTGTTTGTGAATTGATATATACCCTTCACTTTTAGATCCACGAATGTTAAAGTTACTTTCATTTGCCACTGTTCAAGAGCAAAAAAAAACTAAAGACCGAATCCGCACTGAATTATTATCACTAGAAACTCACCTAATCGATTCAAATAATAATGAAGAAACAGAAAGAAATTTAGTAACTACCAATGAAGATTCTCAAGATTCTTTAAGTGCTGAACTATGGGAATTATGTTCAATACCTAATCAAGACATTACTGAAGATGAATTTACTTGTTACATGAAAGAACAAATTGCTCACAAAAATGAAGATCCATTAACATGGTGGGAAAAGAGAATTTGATTTTATTATTAAATAATAAATTTACTTCATCATTATTATCAAGGTATTTTCTAAAATTTTTTGAATTTATATGATGTTTGTCGTGTAAATGATAGACCAAATGCCCTGTACTACCTCCCGATTTGCTATATGGATATGGACTAGCCTGAATTCCATCTAATTTCTCTAATTCTTGAATGCAAATTTTACAATAAGTAAGCGTGTTGTTAGTTTCGTCATCCTGAAAAAAATATCGTGTAAAATTAGCATTTGCCCTTGAGTTGGATTTGCTGCTAGAAGCAACAGATGAGGCTGATTGGGTATTAGTTTTGGTATTAGTTTTAGTGGTTTGTTTTTTTTTTCTAGTAGGATTAAGCATCATTGAAATAAAATTTAAACCAAAATTTTTTAAAAAGCTCAAGACCGATGTGGCCAAATATTTATAAAAAATTATTTTTATTATTTAAAATAAAATACATATAATTGTTGACAAAGAAAATTCCAATAATCATTTAACGAAAACATCAATATAAATCTATATATTCTTGATATTTAAGCAGTAAATTTTCAATATAAGCTTTACAGCTATATTGCCATACTTCTCTAAATGTAATCACTCCTATAAGTCTTATATCCCAACCTTCCCAAATGCATTACTTTCTTAAATGCAATTTTACTTATAGTTTTCCCGGAATTGCATTGGGGAGTTCAACTGTATTATCTAATTATTTGACAAAAAGTGCTATATTGTTATACTCCTCTAAGTATAAGCTTTTCCATATCTTTACTTGGCCAGACTTATTGATTTGACTCCTAAAATACATGTTCTAGACATTGGTCTTCTCAGTATTGTACCTTAGGAGATCTAATTTTATTGATTATATTAAAAATATTTAATAAGAAAGTTGAAAAATTGTATATTAACATTAATTGACCTTAAGATTAGTAAATCTAGCACAAACCCCTCTATATAATGCAGAAGAACTCATTTAAGATTAAATGATAAAAAAAAAAAAATAATGTTTGCTTCAATAAGCCCACATTTAGGTGATTAATAGTACTGGAACAGATCAATGAGCTAAAAGGTTCCAAAATTAAAAGATTTAGTAATCTAAAATGTATCAGAACATGATAAAGCACAAAAAAATTTACAAGTAAATTTTCACCAAAAGCATGTTTACAAACCACAAGCTTAGATTCAGAAAACTGCATATTCTTGTTGTTGCAACAAAAATCAAAGCATTTAGAAAAGGAATATATCAGTATAGTGTAAAACTATAAAAAAGTCAGCTAAATGAACTTTCACCAAAGCATATTCACCTGAAAAACCACAAGTTTAGAGTACATAACATATTCTTTGTTAAATGGCAAAACCAAAACATTCAAGAAAAATGTTATTGTGTTGCTCGAAAAAAAAAAAATTTTATAGAGGTCAACGGGAAGTAAGTTTGGACAACTTTATATAATTCTTGTATGGTTTAAGGTTTTCCATGTAAAGAGAACTTATCGTTAAACTCATATAACTAAGTTAATCCAGATATAACCCCTTAAATCCAGATATAATTATTAAATCCAGATATAATTATTAAATCTGGATTTAATGATTATATCCAGATTTAAGGGGTTATATCCGGATTCAGATATTAACTCTAGTACCTAGAACCGACTGCCTGTACTGTCCTTCGGAGAGATCGAATCACCTTATTATTGTACTGGACTTTCACCAGCCAATCTGGTGTCGCTACAAGTTCTTGTAGTATTTTTATCAAACTTGGCCTCACATTACATCTCGTGACTTTGGTTATTCCAAATCGGGGTTCTAACATGCCTCACTTCATAGCCACAACTTCTCAGAATAACTATTCTCCGAATATATCTATCTGTAGATATCCCGGGTTCTCTGTACCCCACAGTGTTTCAATCCTCTATAAATCAAAGTTGTCAATAACAAATCTTCAGATTACAATAAATATCAGGTAGTAAAATAAAAATAAAACAAAATTTTATAAAATTTCTTGATCTTTTTTTTTTTTAATAGCATGAGACAAACTTAATAGCTCATTATAACTTATTAAAAATTTTAAAATCTTTATTTAATTAATAATTATTATATAATACCAATATATTTATTCATTTTCATTTTATATTTTAAAATAGATCTTCAAATAATTCATTTCAGAAACATATACATCGAGGTTTATATAAGGTAATATTTTTATAAAACATGCTATATTAAGGGCTTGGATTTTAAAATGAGTATATTTATTATATGTCAAAACAGAATTTAGAATCAATAAAGTTGATTCTAAAACACATAAGTTGAAATTTTAAATCCACACAAATTATTAAAGAACTTTGAACTTAAAGTTGATTCAGAACAGTAAACTTTTCAATTTTATTATATAATTACTATTTGTAGTAGTTAAATATAGTTTTAGTTATACGCCAAATAAAAAAATATTACTATTCTATTTAGCTGTATAATTCAGGCTGCAAAACTATGCCACTTTAAAATTGATATTTTTCAATATGCTTATATCGTAATTGTAATAATCTAAAATTTTTGATTGGTTTTTAAGTTTGGCATTAATGATTGAAATAGAACATGTATTTTGAGTTTTTGCTATGAATTCAAATTAAGTCGAAATCCGAAACCCAAACCCAAATTATGTAGTAATATTATAACTCAAAAAAGAGTTTAGGCTATACCAGTGCCATACCCTATTGGAACACACAAAAATTCGATTTTGACATATAGGAGCTTTGCTTTATATTATCAGAGGTTATAGAAAACTATTTATATAAGAAGCCAACAATTATAGCTTTGGGAAATTATGAGATATAAACTAGATAAAGACCTTTAATAACAAACCAAAGTAGCAATAAATATTATAACCTGAATTTATTAAAAAAATTTTAGAATGATATATTAACACTAAATGATTAATTTCTCGATCATTATACCAAGATTACAAATGATTAATAAATATCTGATCTATATGCAAATAAGCAAAAACTTCATTTCTTAATCTCCAATAGATCAATATATCAGCTTAATCTCTACTCACAGCTATATATTTTTATCATCATGATTGCAATGTAAAGTACTCTATAAAAAAAAAACCAAATAAATAGTAATATAGAATATAAAAAAGATAAACATTCTATAATTCTAAAACTTCACATTGTTGTCATTAAAAGATAAAATGTACTGACTTACATCAATTCAAGTTTATATTTATATTGAATATAAGTTCTTGATAGGTCTAATGTTTCATTTCATATTTGAAATTTGTTAACATACAAGAATATTAGAGAGCTAACAAAATTAAGTAATTTTTTGAGGAGGTAAAAAAAAGTTAAAATTATATATAAGGAACCTAACTATTTGTATATTAAAGAAGAGAAAGAGAGGATAGACCTCTAATAAAAAATAATCAGATGATTAATGACACAGTATTTAATAATAGAAAGTACAAAGTAATATTCATATGTGTTGTTATAGAGGCTCCACTTATCCTACCACTAATTTCAATTTCAATAAAAGTTAGATCTATGAAAAGAAAGTGTTAGTTGTTGGTAAGGAAAAAAAAAATTATTTACAGGACAAAAGAAAAAGAATCTGTAAGTTAAGACATTTTCTATTCATCCAAACCAAATCATTGCATTCTTATGATTCTTCTCGGAAATTGTAATTTCCAAGATGAATTGCAGAAAGAAGATGACCTCCTAAGAACAATTAAAGTTACAAATATCTAAACCTAAAAAATGTAAATATTAAACAAAATATAAAAAACAAAGAGAAATAAAAAAAAAGATAATCTGTAATAATTCTTGACAAATTTACTAACCTTCTAATATTAAAAAGAAAGAAATTTTACAGTAAAATCAGAGTCAAAAAAATATTTAAAAGATAATATATAAAAGCAAAAAAATTAACAAACAATATAATATAAAGCAAGATATGAAAAATATTTACTATTTAATGATTGATATTAGAATTTTTGTGTAATGATATGCTATTATGCTTTTCTTACAATACATACATATGTATATATATACTATTATCTAATATACATATGTGTAATAAAGAGCCAATAATAAAGATAATAAAATAAAACCTGAAACTAGTTTTAGGAAGGTTTAAATCCGAAATTGGAACAACTTTTACATGGGTCAGTCTGTACTATTATGAGTATTCAGGCAAAATTTCTTAAATTGAAATATTGATATTTAATTAATTTTAATAATTAAGATTAACAATAGAAATTTTGAACCTTTAAACAAGAATTGTAATAAATTGTTATAATATTATGTGACAAGACTTGTACTAAAAGTAAAGTATCTACTCAAGAATATAGTCCAATAAATTATCAAAGTTTGATCAAAAGTGTCTAAATACTCATAATAGTACGAACTAACCTACATGATATTTTTACTCAATTTTGATCTTAAAACAGAACCAAATAAAACCAAGTAGAGCTTTTAATATCTCTATTTACTGTATAATCTTGGAGTGTTATTCTTAAGTATATTACAGTAAATACAGTACTTTATATTGTCATTATGAGAATCTTAGCAAATTATAGTACTATATAAATTGTATACATATAAATATTATATAGCCAATAATTAGTTGATAATTTAGTTAGCTAATATAGTACTAAATCAACCCAAAAATTTAAAACTCTATTATTTTAAAAATTTTTAATAAACTTAAAAAATTTTTTAACAAAATTATAAAGCAAATCTTATATTTTATTTTTTATATAAAAAAGTATATTATAAAATAAATATTTTATAATTTATTAAAAAATTAAATTATATTTGTAAATTTGCAAGCAAATTTGCCTGTATTACAATTTAAAGGATAGTGCCTAAAAACACAAGCAAAGCAATACACTGTGTTTTTATAGAATCTGTATTATTTTACCAACAATCACTTCATAGACATTATATTTTACTGACAATTATCTATCAATAAGTTGCAGTTAATGGAGTTAAATCTGCAATCTCGATTA